CAAAATTGAAATTGATAAGGAACAAAATATCAACTCGGGACTAATGATTCGGGAAAGTGATCTCTCTTTTTCGTAACGGGCGTGAAATATGAGAAAGTGACGATTTTATTCTTGTGTAACGACAAATCAAAACGCAAAAATGCAACGAGAATATTCGCATAATGTGTGTTAAAAGCGCATTCGCCACTTTTGCGAACGGAAATACACGGGATTCATCTCGCGTAATCAAGCAACTTTCTCATACTTGAGTTCTCCTCAGGGTCAACAGTACAGTCAGGCAAAGGACGTCGGCAAAAGAGGCCAACTAGGACATCAAGGTCTTCACGGCTCGGCAATAAGGGAAAGTACAAGAGGCTTTCGACGGAATGACCCTTTAAGGGGCACGAGGGTAGTTTCGACGACGACAGTGAAGGGGAGAAGGGGTACGAAGAGGGGATATATTGATCGTACCGAAAACATTCGCCCCAGAAACGGGATTCTCCTTTGCATCTCCCGACGACGGCGAAAAGAAAAAGAAAAAAAAAAAAAAAACAGGCGATTTTTCTTCATCATATATATTCGGCGAGAAAATTCCTTTGGACGGCGCCGTCCGGGATATATCGACGTATCCTGGAATCAAGTCGTTTCACGAGATTTAAATCTGCGGCGACAGCCCGTCGAAGTCTCTCTTTCTCATGAGCGAAGGCAATTTAACAGTGCCCCGGCATTTGCTCGAGAAAATTGCGACGCACAAATTGCACATAACGGTTATTGCAGGGTGGCGGAAAAAAGTGGGAAGTTAAGCTCCATCGTTAGAAATGTAACCCTCTCTCCCGTCTGAGTAAATCCGAGAGTTTCGAGTAGCGTAATCTAAAACAACGTACGATTCTGCTCCCCCCCCCTCTTTTTCCACCCTCCTCCTCCTCCTTTCTTACCGGCACTCGATTCATTATATCATCGCGACGAGAATGTATGTCGTGCTCGCGTCAATTATTATTGATGTGCAAGCGTATAATTTTTCCGCAAGATACATAATCGTGAATGCTCCTACGCACGAGGACTGCGGGGGTGCCAAGAGAGAAAGAGAGAGAGAAAAAATTATGAAGAGTCATCAAGGGTGTCATATTTAGATATACCGCGGTGGTCGCATGAGGGTTGAATTCTCAAGGACGCGGCGATGACGTAGATGAGAGAGAAGAGGGTGGCCGGTCTATTTTAACGGGCGGTCGCAGGTGATCGATCGCGGAGTGTCGTACCAACCCCGCGAAAAGCACGGGACGGAATATTTCGTAACTGCTCCCGTGCTCTCTCTCTCTCTCTCTCTCTCGTTCTACACTGCCTATTCCTGTAATCCTCATTTGTAATTTCGGTTCGTGGCACGCGAGGGTTATTGAACCGTTACGAGAGGGAGCGGGGG